AAACCAACCCTTCAGCCTCTAAACAAATGATATGGAGTGGTTAGGCCATTATGCCAATACCAGGACATAGATTAAAGTTAATTATTTCAATAGAAAGTAACCCACTTTTATTTGAAAGACATATACACTTAAAGCCAAATATCCACCAATTTTTATTTTTCCTATTTTTATCATGAAAAATGGTATCATTTGTGGTGATCTATAAAATGGTGTCATTTGTGGTGATCTATAAAATCTGAAAATCGGGTAAATGTCCATACTACTGCGGACAAGAGGAACACCGAAGAAATGGAGTAGCCTTCATAATTAATAAAAAAGTCGCTAAAGCAGTGCTTGGATACAACCCAAAAAATGACAGAATGATCTCAATTCGAGTGCAAGGAAAGCCTTTAAACATTACAGTGATCCAAATATACGCCCCAACCACAGCTGCTGAAGAAGGAGAAGTAGATCAGTTCTATGAGGATCTGCAGCATCTACTGGATAATACACCAAAAAGAGACATTTTTTTTCATTACAGGAGACTGGAATGCTAAGGTGGGAAGTCAAATGACAACTGGGATCACAGGCAAGCATGGTCTGGGACAACAAAATGAAGCGGGATGCAGGCTGATAGAATTTTGCCAGGAAAACTCGCTGTGTATAACAAACACTCTCTTCCAACAATCTAAAAGACGGCTTTATACATGGACTTCACCAAATGATCAACACCGAAATCAGATTGACTACATCCTTTGCAGTCAAAGGTGGCGGACATTCATCCAGTCGGTGAAAACAAGACCTGGGGCTGACTGTAGATCAGATTACGAACTTATTATTGCTCAATTTAGAATAAAACTAAAGAGATCAGGGAAAACACACAGACCAGTTAGATATGATCCCACTAACATTCCTAGTGAATATGCAGTGGAAGTGAAGAACAGATTTCAAGGACTAGGTTTAGTAAATAGAGTCCCAGAAGAACTATGGACAGAAGTCCGGGACATTGTTCAGGAGGCGGCAACAAAGTACGTCCCAAAGGAGGCAAAATGGTTGTCTGCTGTGACACTGGAAGTAGCCCAAGAAAGAAGGAAAGCAAAAGTAAACAGTGATAAGGGAAGATATGCCCAATTAAATGTGCAATTCCAGGAGTTAGCCAGAAGATAAGGAACTATTTTTAAACAAGCAATTCATGGAAGTGGAAGAAGACAACAGAATAGGGAGGACAAGAGACCTCTTCCAGAAAATTAGAAGCATTGAAGGTAAATTTCAGGCAAAAATTGGCATGATAAGAAACGAAGATGGCAAGGACCTAACAGAAGCTGAAGAGATCAAGAGAAAGTGGTGAGACTATACAGAAGATCTGTATAGGAAGGATAATAATATCAAGGATAGTTTTGTCGGTGTGGTGAATGAATTAGAACCAGACATCCTGAGGAGTGAGGGTGAATGGGCCTTAAGGAGCATTGATAACAACAAGTAGGAGGAGATGACGGGATCCCTGCTGAACTGTTTAAAATCTTGAAAGATGATGCTGTCCAGGTGATGCATGCCATATGCCAGCAAATATGGAAAACACAAGAATGGCCATCAGACTGGAAAAAATCAACTTATATCCCCATACCAAAAAAGGGAAATGCGAAAGACTGCTCCAACTTCCGTACAGTGGCCCTTATTTCTCATGTCAGTAAGGTAATGCTCAAGATCCTGCAAGGAAGACTCCAGCAATACTTGGAGCAAGAGTTGCCAGATGTACAAGCTGGGTTTAGAAAAGGCAGAGGAACGAGAGACCAAATTGCCAATATCCACTGGATAATGGAGAAAGGCAGGGAGTTTCAGAAAAACATCTATTTTTGTTTTATTTACTATTCTAAGGCCTTTGACTGTGTGGATCATAATAAATTGTGGCAAGTTCTTGGTGGTATACCAAAACACCTTGTCTCCCTCCAAGTAGCAACAGTAAGAACTGACCATGGAACAACAGACTGGTTCAAGATTGGGAAAGGCGTACGGCAGGGTTGTATACTCTCACCCAACCTATTCAACTTGTATGCAGAACACATCATACGATGTGCAGGGCTTGATGAATGCAAGGCTGGGGTTAAAATTGCTGGAAGAAACATTAACAACCTTAGATATGCAGATGACACCACTTTGATGGCTGAAAGCGAGGAGGAGCTGAGGAGCCTTCTAATCAAGGTGAAAGAAGAAAGAGCAAAAGCTGGGTTGCAGCTAAACATAAAAAAACCAAAATTATGGCAACAAGAATTATTGGCAACTGGGAAATAGAGGGAGAAAACGTGGAGGCAGTGACAGACTTTGTATTTCTAGGTGCAAAGATTACTGCAGACGCAGACTGCAGCCAGGAAATCAGGAGATGCTTACTTCTTGGGAGGAGAGCAATGTCCAATCTCAATAAAATAGTGAAGAGTAGAGACATCACACTGACAACTAAGATCCACATACTTAAAGCAATGGTATTCCCCATAGTTACCCTACGGATGTGAGAGCTGGATCATAGGGAAGGCTGAGTGAAGGAAGATAGATGCTTTTGAACTGTGGTGCTGGAGGAAAGTTCTGAGAGTGCCTTGGACTGCGAGAAGATCCAACCAGTCCATACTTCAGGAAATAAAGCCCGACTGCTCATTGGAGGGAAGGATATTAGAGACAAAGTTGAAGTACTTTGGCCACATCATGAAGAAACAGGAAAGCTTAGAGAAGACAAGCTGGGGAAAATGGAAGGAAAAAGGAAGAGGGGCCAATCAAGGGCAAGATGGATGGATGGTATCCTTGAAGTGAGCCCACAGTGGGTTAAACCCCTATGTCAGCAGGACTGAAGACCGACAGGTCGCAGGTTCGAATCCGGGGAGAGGCGGATGAGCTCCCTCTATCAGCTCCAGCTCCTCATACGGGAGAGAAGCCTCCCAAAAGGATGATAAAACATCAAATCATCCGGGCATCCCCTGGGCAACATCCTTGCAGACGGCCAATTCTCTCACACCAGAAGCGACTTGCAGTTTCTCAGGTTGCTCCTGACATGACCAAAAAATAATAATCCTTGAAGTGACTGGCTTGACTCTGAAGGAACTGGGGGAGGTGACGGCCGACAGGGAGCTCTGGCATGGGCTGGTCCATAATGTCATGAAGAGTCGGAAATGACTGAACGAATGAACAACATCCATACAGAGACTTTTAATGGATTTTCAGATGCTGCCAGTTGTCAAGAGAATCCAGATCTTTAAAAATGTGTATCATAAAACATAATAATGTAAACACATGAATATATTGCCATATATTTCAAATATGTAATTCATTTTTTTTCAGGTGATAGCTCCCAAGGGATATCAATCACATGTGCAGCTACTTGAATGGGTGAAATTCAATCACGTTTTGCTGCTGAGAGAATTGGTTCTGTCAACTGGGAGAGCAGACAATTCAATCCCCATCCTAAAAAGGACTGCTCCCCTGCAGCAGATTGTAGAGGTATATGAAGGAAGTTACAGAGGAGAGGACTGCATTAATGGATATCTGTCAATTGTATTATTAGTTTTCTCCTAATATGATGACCATTTCAATGACCTAATTCTTCCCCACCAAAAATTAAACACTTGGAAAAAAGGGTCTTATTAAGTCAATATACCAATAAAATATTTTTCAAATAAAGCTTTGAGTTTCTTTGAATATAGTATTTTCACATACTAAGTACATTTTATGTCTTAATCAAACAAATGTGTCAGCATTTTATTTCCTAATAAAATATTTCAGTGCAAGTACTTCTGCCTACAGGAAAATAAACATTCCTTGAACACCTTACCCAACCTGATAGCACACTCAAGATCATATCTGCACAACCTGTGGCCCTCCGGGAGTTTCTGACTGCAGTTCCCAGAATTCCCAATCACTGTACAAGCTGACTAGGGCTGCTGGAAGCTGCAATCCCAAACACCTGGAGGGCCACAGGTTGTGCACCATGGCTCTAGATACTTTGAGCTGTAGCTCTCATCATCATGGACTACCAACCACATTATCTAGAGCTGATTGGTGCTGTGGGCCAAAACATTTGAAGGGACCCCGATTGCAGAAGCATGCAAAAATAATTAGTGAGAATATCTAATGGTAATTTGAAGCTAATCACTTCGGGATATCATAATTGTTCTTAATTCATTCCTGAAAACCTACCCAATAAAACATGTGTATATGGAAATATAAAAGATGTTTATGCATTTGTAATACTAGAATCCATATAGCTGGGACTGTTCATTGTTTAGCATTTCACTTCCTATTTCAGGCATTGAAAGTTGACTTGTGGTTCATTTCTTGTTGAAAAGCAGGAAGAGCAGAGAAGAAAGTTCCTTTTGCATACATGATGGCTAGGCTGAGTTGTGGAATATAGCAATATTGAAGTGTGCCATAAAATTCAGCAGAATTTCCTTCAGAGAAACCATAACCTAAGACCATGACCACTGTGTTTGACACCAACCGTATAATCCCACAAATCTCAGAATTGCCTTAAGGTCAATTTTGTGCTACATTTGAAAAAGACAGTCCAGATTATAACTAAGAGTGATATAATTTCTCTTAGTTATCACAGGAGGTAAACTGCCTCTCATCGGATCCTCCAGGAGCATTAATTTTCTTTTTAAATAGATTGCAGCAAGGCCCTTGCCCTATTCCACCCCTCATTCCTCAGCAAGAACATCTGATTTTTAAAAACAGAAGTGGATTTCCATCTACTTCCAAGTGTTTTTTTTTTAATTTTTATGCGGCCCACACATTTAGAGGGCAAAAAGTTGGTCCTCACATTCATCACTATGTTTTTAAAATCTGTGAGAAAAGGAGGCATAATGACGGAATTGCATGTTTTTTTGGACTGCAGCTTCTATGAGTCCTAGTCAGTAAAGCCTATGGTGAGAAATGCTGAGTTACAGTCCAGAAACATCTAGAAAATTGCATTTACTTCACTCGTTAAGGATATATAAAACATTTTTAAAAAGATAAATGTTTTAACTGCACACACACACCTGTTGCCATGAGGTTTTCTGCAAAACCCACACTGCTTACTAGGTACCCAGGGACCTTTGCTTTCAGTAGCATATAGGTGATCTGAGCTTTCTTTTTTCACAGTAGAAATATTATCTGGAATGAATAATGGTGGTTCATCAACTGAAATGCTTTTACTGCTTCTTCTCTGTCGAGGCTGAAGATTTTTCTCTAACTTTCTAAGTTTAAATTTCTCTTTCTCATCTTCTTTCGAAGGATCCACAGGTGTTCCAATAGAATCTTTTTTTCCTCCTTCTTCCTGGATGCAATTATCTGCTTTAGAAAGCTGATGCTTCTGTAACAGCTTTTGATCATGCTGTACCAACTGTCCTTGTTTGGGATGCACTGGTCCTGAGGCTAAGTGTGAGGTTTCCTTTGAACCAATATGATGACTGGACTTGTCAACTATTCTCTCCACTAAGATTTTCTGTCCCTGACCTGGTACTTGGACCTGTTGAAAGTTTTTCCCTAAAACATGAGCCTTCTTCTTCTTCAGACTTGCTCCAGAATCAAAGCTCTGGGCTTTATCTTCTTTATTGGCATGTTTTTTCTTAACCTTTGCCGGTTTATGAAAATGTTGGCGCTTTTCTTGTTCCTCTGCATGACGTTTCAGACTTACTCCTGACTGGCTGTGAACTTGTGGCAGAACCGGCCTTTTACTAGGTACGTCTTGATTTAGAGGAACTAATTTTTGTTGGACAGCTGTGGTTTTATTTTGCTTAGACTTGGTATGTTTGATCTTAACATTTTTTGTGCCTTTTGATGAAATGTTAGAACTCCCATCTCTCTGTAATTCTACTGTCTCATGTTCTTTCATCTTTATATTGTCGGTCTCTTGATGTATAACTTGGGGTAGAATGTCTTCAGCTGTACCACACTCCAAAATATTTCTGGTTTCTGGTTTGGCAGAATTGCCACCAACCGCTTCTGAATAAGTCTGACCAAGCTTCCTCCTAACTAAAGATGAATTATCTTTAACGTCAACTTTTCCAGGATCCTCAAAAGACTCCTGTCTGTCTTCTTCTGATAAACCAGTTTCATGAGCAACATCTCCACTTGTTTGGAAGTCTGAACTGCATTTGGACTTCTCATCCACATAGTCAGATTGAACTGCAAACATTTCCTGAATTCTAGCTACATTCTCATCTGTCATTTTAGTTCCTTTGCTATTATCACCCATCTTAATTTCACAAAGTTCTTGCTCAGTTTTATAATCTGCCTGTTCTATTGAAGATATTTCAGAAATAAATGGATTAACTGCAGTCCTATCCTTATCATCTTCACCTATACTGCTATCCTGTACTGCATTAGTCTCTGCAGAAGCACAAACTGCAACCTTTTCTCCCATACTATGATGTATCCTTTTCACATTTGTTCTGCTTTCCATTTCTTTACGCGGAGAAGTGGTTCCTGGTAAGTGAGATACATTTTCTACTTCATGAGAAGCATCCTCTAATTTTGTCTGGCCAGAAATTTCACATTTGGTATCTGCTTTTAGCTCATCTGAATCCACACAAGACTTCACCGATTCTGTTGATGGTGATGGTACTGACTCTTTGTGACAGCTTTCATTACCATTGTGCTCCATGTCTTCTGGATGCTCTTCAAGGTTACCACTTTCATGTTTAACCTGTTCTTTGTCTTGCTGTTTCACTCCTCCCTTTTGGGCAGATACAGACTTCACAGCTGATTTCTTTGCAGTTAAAGATGGTGAAGCATTTGAGCGCTTGGCCAGTGTGCTTTGCCGCAGACTACGTACAGGTTCTAGTAAAATAAAAATAAAGTGCTTGTTTTTATTCATCCTCTGCAAATCTGCAAGACTAAATTACCAGATCTAAACCCATTTGTTAGCTTCAACTAAGTAGACCCATTAAGTCAGGGGTCACTTGTATTTATGTTAATGTTATTGATTGCCCCTGGTTTGGTATACTACAGTTGAGATTCACAAATTGTTTTAGGCCAAAATAAATCAGTTTGTATTATTTAACATTTTAAACCAAATTACTCATACACCAACAAGCTGACAAATTATTCATACACCAACCTTATATATGTTCAGGCTAATTAGGACTATTTGCTTATAAAATTCCCAAAATAATATCCCAGAAATTATTAAAAGGGAATAGTAATCACTTCAAGTTCTTGAATATTTCCACTCAAACAGTAACACTATCAAATTAATGTCATATCACTGATTTATGGTCAATCTATCCTAGGGTTTTCTTGGAAAGGTTTATTCAGATGAGGTTTGACACTACTTTCCTTTGAATGCAGAGAGAGTATGATCTGCCCAAAGTCACCCAGTGTGTCTTCATGACCAGAGCAGATTTAAACCCTAGTCTCCTGGAATGCTGATCCAATGCTCAAACCATTATACTATGCTGATATACAATGCAGAATTATATTTATATATCTGAATGTCAACAATGGAACATATACATACATAACCTACGCCAGGACATGTAAAACTGTTCCACTCACGACCCATTTCTGCCTGAGAAATATTTACATGACCCCTGGTATATAGGTATATAAAAAAGTATAAAAACCAAACATCTATGGATAATAAAGCAGGTATTAGCAAGGCTTGCTAAATATGCCGATTTTCTTTTTGTGGAGTACAGCTGAAGAATCTTCTGCAGAGTTCACTGCAAACACTGCAAAACAGATCCATGCTAATGAATAAAATAGCCACTAGGTGACATTCAGAAAACTTTTACTATTGCCAATTTTGGGGACCCCAACATTGAGCTAAAGGGGACCCCACTTGGGGTTTAAGAAGCAGTGGTCTATACTAAATGTAAAAAAATGCCCCACTATAATTTTGACGTTTTTCTGAATAATTACCTTGTGTCATTAAACGTGGAGATTTTCTTGGTGATTTGACTGTTGTGGCATCCATCTGGTCCCTCAATTTCCTGTTAGATGAAAGATCATCTTCATCAATGGTACTGTGGACAGTTTCTTTAACTCCTTCATCCATAATATCATCAAGTGCAACTAAAAAATAAACAAAACAAAACAAAAATCCTAAACCTTAAAAGTATCTACTTAGGCTGCAGTTTCATGAAATTGGCCATAAAAGTTAAGATTAGCTAAAAAAAAATGAATGTAATGGGATGATATGTAAAAAAGACTGAGAAGCATGATTAGGAAATATGATGTAAAAATTTCCTGCAAGTTAGGTAAAACAAGCCGACGTCCAGAGCAGTATATTTCTTATACATGGTCCTGAGAAAGAGTCATAACCAGTTTTAATGGACTCACATTTTATTGATTTGCCACAGGAAGTTCTCAGTCCTTAAAGGATCAGCTGTCCCTCACTGTCCCTTCCCACCTATGAGAAAGAGAATTTAACAATGGAAAGAGCTGATCCAAATGTGAAAATTTCCTATACCCATATTTTTTTTAGTTTGCTCTGACTTTAAATATAGAATGCATTTATCTGTGTCTGCAACTTGATAGTTATCCATAAATGATTCACCTGATAAGCTTTTAGCCATAGCCTAAGAACCACAGCAAAACACTGCAGCTCTAAGCATACTCTAAGCAGAGTATGCCCCACTGGAGTCACGGAATCTACCTTTATAAAAATAAAAAAATATGTTCAGTTAATCAGTAAGTCCGAATACTAGCTCAAGGCCAAATAACACAAAAAGCCTTTCCCCCACCTTCCTTGTCACCAAAAGCCTTTTTCTCACCTCTCTTGCTGCCAAAATCCTTTCTCCCACCTCCCTTGCCACCAAGTTTTTTCCTTGCTTCCCTTGTTGCCAAAAGCCTTTCACCCATCCTCCCTTGCCACCAAAAGCATTTTCCCTCTCTTCTCTTGCTGCCAAAAGCCTTTTTCTTATACCAGCAAGAATAAAATACCTCTTTGTACCAATAATAGTAACAATCCTGTCATTAATATGCTCAGATAACTTTCAACCAAAGTCTATCCACATGCAATGTAAGAGTCTAAGGCTAAGCAAACAAAGAATCTTTGGCCTCTTCTATGTATCGTAATAGCTCTTCAACTTCATCCTCTCTCAGTCTTCTCTCCAGGCTAAATATCTTCAGCTTTTTCAAACTTTCAACACAGATTTGTTTAGCATTGGATATAGTATTAGTTAGACCTGCTTTAATAGTAGCTCTCAACAGTAGCTCTCAAGCAACCAGAAACTACATGGAAATTCCATCCACCTGACCAGGTGCCCCATCCCTCAATCAACCACATTTGAATGGTCCCAATGTTGGCGTCCCAATGGCTAATAGTGCTGGGGAACTTCAATGTCCATGCCAAGATTGTTCTGTTGGGAGCGGCTCAGGAATTCATGGCCACCATGACAACCATGGGTCTGACCCAAATGGGTCTGGTCCCACCCATAGTGTTGAACACACATTAGATCTGATCTTCTGTTCAGGACGACATGAGGGCGATGGTATCATGAAGGAACTGCCTACAGTTCCTTTGTCATGGACCGATCACTACCGGGTCAGATTTAGGGTCATTTGAGCTCTGCAGGGGTGGAGGACCGATTAATATAGTGCACTCCAGAAGGCTCATGGACCCAGATGGATTCCTGATGGCTCTTGGGGAGTCTCTTGCCACTTCTATAGCTGATTCTGTGGAGGCTCTTGTGGGCCTCTGGAATAAGGAGGGTAATAGGGCAGTTGATGCAATTGCTCCTGAATGTCTCCTTTCACAGAGCAGAGCCAAATAAGCTCCCTGGTACTCTAGGCAGCTGGCAGCGATCAAACAAGTGTAACAGAGGCTAGATCAGTATTGGCAGAGAACTTGCAGCGAGTCTGACTGAGCACAAGCTAAAGCGCATTTCAGAAATTGTTTGTTGTAACCAATATTGCATCTGCAAAGAACCACCCGAGGGAGCGGTTAGAGGACTTGTAAACCCTGCTCAGGCAGAGATCTCTGACCAATCGGCAGCTCATTGTAATGAATTTGCAGATAAAGTTGCTTTGATCCATTCTGACTTAGACACCAGTTTTGATGCAGTCTCCGTGGATGTGGCCGAGGCATCTGATTGTTCGATTTTAATGGATTCCTTTCCATTCATACAGCCTGATGATGTAGGCAAGACCTTGGGAGAGATGGAGGCCACCACCTATTCTCTGGACCCTTGCCCTTTCCTGACTAATTAAGCAGGCCAAAGGGGGGGGGGGGCTGGTCAAGTGCATGAAAGTGCTGGTGAATGCATCCCTGAAACAAGGCATAATGCCAGTTAGCTTCAAGGACACAGTAGTAAGACCATTATTAAAGAAACCAGCACTGGGTTCAACTCAAATGGTTAACTACTGGCCAGTTTCAAATCTCCCCTTTTGGGAAGGTTCTGGAGAAGGTGGTAGCCTCTCAGCTCCAAAGCTTCTTGGATGAAACCAATTATCTAGATCTATTTCAATCTGGTTTCAGACCTGGCCATGGAACAGAGATGGCATTGGTCACCTTGGTAGATGATCTATGAAAAGAGCTCAACAGGGAGAATGTGTCTTTGTTGGTTCTCCTGGACCTCTGAGGTGTTTGATATCATCGACCAAGGTATCCTTCTGAGTCATCTCTCTAGGATGGGGCTAGGAGGCACTGTTGTCCTTCCCAGGGGATCAGACTCAGAAGGTCGTGCTGGGTGACTCCTGTTTGATCCCCTGGCCTGTGGCCTGCATGGTCCCACAGGGTTCTAGCCTGTCCCCCATATCACTGAGCCTGGAACCCCAGGTTTCGGCGGTGACCAGGGGAGCATTTGCACAGCTAAAGCTTGTGCGCCAGCTGCACCCGTACCTTGGGAAGTCTGACTTGGCCACGGTAGTCCACGCTCTGGTTACATCCCGTTTAGACTACTGCAACGCTCTCTACGTGGGGTTGCCTTTGAAGACAGCTCGGAAGCTCCAACTAGTCCAACGCTCAGCAGCCATGATTTTAACAGGAGCGGAGCGCAGGGAGCATACAACCCCCCTGTTGCGCCAACTCCACTGGCTACCGATCTGCTACCGGGCTGAATTCAAAGTGCTGGCGTTGGCCTTTAAAGCCCTAAACGGTTCCGGCCCAAGCTACCTATCTGACCGCATCTCTGCCTATGACCCCACCAGGACTTTGAGATCTTCCGGGGAGACCCTGCTCTCGATCCCGCCTGCTTCTCAAGCTCGGCTGGCGGGGACGAGAGATAGGGCCTTCTCGGTGGTGGCTCCTCGGCTGTGGAACGCCCTTCCTATGGACATTAGACTAGCACCATCTCTAATGGTATTCCGCAAAAAGGTGAAGACCTGGATGTTTGTGCAGGCGTTTGAGTAATTTAGTGCAATCTGGTAATGGAACATAGGAATGGAACAATGGACGACGAACCTGGACTACGCTTGGATGATGAGAAGATTGGGTACGGTTGTTTTTTGTAATAATTGTGCATTGTAATTGCTTATTGGTAATTTATGGATAATGTGTTAAGTCAATTGTTATATGTTGTATGGAACCACTGCTGTTTCTACTGTTTTTACTGTTTGTGAACCGCTGTGAGTCGCCTTCGGGCTTGAGATACAGTGGTAGTAAATAAATAAATAAATAAATAATAAATACATGAAACTGCTGGGTGAGATTTATATTTATACAGAGGACACCAAACTCTATTACTCCTTTCCACCAAAAGCCAAGGATGCAGTCCTGATCCTAAACCAGTGCCTGTCATCAGTAATTGACTGGATGAGGGCTAACAAATTGAAATTGAATTCTGACAAGATGGAAGTGCTCCTGTCAGTCATAAGGCAAACCAGAGTAAAGAGTTATAGCCTGTGCTGGATGGGATTACACTTCCCCTGAAGACACAGGTTCACAGCTTAGGGGTGATCCTGGATTTACCGCTACCATGGAGCCTCAGGTGTCAGTGGTGGCCAGGAGCGTCTTTGCACAATTCAAACTTGTGCACCAGCTGGGACACCTTGGGATGCCAGATCTGACCATGGTAGTTCCACGCCTTAGGCACATCCCATTTGGATTACTGCAATGCGCTCTACGTGTGGCTGATATTGAAGATAGTCCAGAAGCTTCAACTGATTCAGAAATCAGCAGTCAGATTACTTACTGGAGCTCCGCACAGGGAGAGAACCACTTCCATGCTGAAACAGCTCCACTGGCTGCTTCCAGGCTAAATACAAAGTGCTGGTTATTACCTTTAAAGCCCTAAATGGTTTGGGCCTAGACTATCTAGCAAACCGCATCTCCTGGTACAAGCCTGCCCTTGACTGACGGAGGAGGCACTGCTCTCAGTCCCACCCCCATGTCAAAAAAGGCTGGTGGGAACAAGAGAGGGGGTTTCTCTGTGATCACCCCCGCCTCTGGAACTCCCTCCCCAAGGAGATCAAAATGGCTCCCTCCTTACTTTCTTTTAAGAAACAGCTTAAAACTCTTCTATGCTCTCAACCATACAGTGAGGAGAAAGTATAGAATTTTTAGTATGAATAAAATGGAAAGGAATGGGTATGACACTCAGGCTAGCTATCTTTTAAACTGTTATAATCTGATGTTGTGAACTGTTTAATTTTAAAGTCTTGTCATATAATGTTGGGTGTCGTAATTTACTGTTCATGATTTTCTGTTTAATTTTTTTTACAGTTTCTGTTTTTGGATATTGGCATTGAACATTCGCTTTTGTTGGAAACCGCCGTGAGTCCCGTTGTGAGATAGGGCAGGATACAAATAAAGTTGTTGTTGTTGTTGTTGTTGTTATGCCCTACCTAGTGTATAAGCCTTTTCTTTTCACTTGGCCTCCTGAATTCTCCTTCCTACTATGTATTTCTTGAAGGTCAAATATATTTTTTACAAAGTACACATCTAGTGAAAAATAAATGACATTTAAAATATACACTGAAGCCAGGTAGGCAACTTTTGGCTCCAAATATATTTTGGACTACAATGGTGACAGCCCCACATCCCTCACACAGCTCTCTATAGGTCTGTCTTCAGAATATGTTCAGAAACCTAGCTAACCCAGAATACTCTAGCCAGACTACTAAAGAGGTGA